TCTTCTGTCATCCTTAGTCATTGTCCAGCTCTCTGATGCATAGCAAGTAACTGCGAAGACCATGGCCTGGATCGGACGCACCTTAGTCTCTAGACTGACATCGTAGCCACCTGGAAAGATTCAAGGGCACAGACTGAGGTGCACATAGGGTTGGGAACAGTGTCCTCTACACAACAGCTAGATCAGGAAAACGCTGAATTCTTAGCAAATTGGGTAGAGCACTCAGGAGTGGGGAAATTTAACCCTAGAATGTGCTCTGCTCTGGACCCACCGAACAAAGCTTAAAAGCAAAGCTCAAAGGAAGACACTGTTCCTTAGTCACTTAAACGCCTTCCAAAACAAAGCTCACTATTCACTGGTGCACAAAAATAGCCATCCGCCAACAAGGTAAAATTAACAATGTCAAAAAAAAGTCTTGTCAGAAATTACCAGGCGTACAAAGAAGAAGCAGGAAAGCAATACCTGCAACGAAGAGGAAGATAGATCAATCAAAACCAATCCAAAAAAGACACAGAGCGAAGGACTGGTAGACAGGCAGACTCAGAGAATCGCAGCTTTCCACCACATGCTCAAAAAGCCAGAGGAACTATGGGGCAGAGACTCGGAAGCCATAAACAGAACTCAAACTTCGAGAGATGTAAACTTAACCCGAGATGAAATACATTAAGAGGGGTTAATGGCAGGTTAGACATTAGATTAAATTGTGACGCTGCCGTTGGTTAATATGTTGTTGTGTGTCATGGAGTCAGAACTGCCCTGTGACTGAATCTCCAGCAGGTGTTCAGAGGAAGCAGACCGCACTGAAGATTGCCTGTTCTTCTCCCATGGAGCAGCAGGTGGATTTGAACCCCGTGCCTTTGAAATAGGCTAGAATTATAAAAGAAAAGATTGTAGAAATACAATTCAAAATTAATTGCAGGGAGAAAACCCAAAAATGAAAAGTAGAGAAACGCAACTCAGAACAAAACACAGAGGGAGGGGGAATATGAAAGTCAAAGGCATTGCTGTGGTGGTGGAAGGACTCATAGCTAAGCCTCCAGTGGGTTTTCAGAGGCTCTGATTGCAAAGAAGAGTGCTTATCTTTTCCTCACAGAGCTGCTGGTAGATTTGAATAGCTTATCTTTGGGTTGGAAGCACAATCTTCTAGGTAGAAGAGCTCAAGCCCCAAATAAGACCAAAACAAGACCCAAAAGTAGCAAGGCATCATGAAATGTGAGACATCATGTTGTAGTTAGACGCCATCAAGTAGAATACAACTCACAGCGACCAGATATATATACAGTTCTCTTTGACACATTTCCTATCACTATGACACACATCCAGTCACTATGAGTTGTAACAGCAATGAATCTGTGCCCTGCCTTATCCGATGCCATCCTTATCATCTCTGAGATACTTGATCCTGTTATGACAGTCACTGTGTCAATCCATAGTGTTGAGGGTCTTCTTCTCTCTGCTTGGCCCTCCACCTTTTCCCAGCGTGATGTCCTTTTCCAAGGACTGACCCCGCCTAATAACATGGCCAAAATATGTGAGATGAAGTTTCACCATCCTTGCCTCCAAGGAGCACCCTGGTTGCACTCTCTCCAAGACATACTTGTTTGTTCTTTTGGCTGTCCATGGCATATTCAGTCCTCCCACACCACAAACTCAAAGGCCATCCATACACACTGTCCATGTTTCATGTGCATCACAAGAGGTTGAAAAGATGATGCTTGAATCAGATGGACTTTAGTCTTTAAGCTGACATCATTGCTTTTTTTTATATTATTATTTTGTGTGTCTGTGTACCGTCAAACCAGATCTGACTGGTACAGGAGGAGATTGTCCCTCCTTTCCCGGCAGAGCATCTGGTGGATTCGAACCAACATCATTGCTTTTTAACACCTTAGAGAGGTCCTTGTCAGCAGATTTAACCAATGCAATATGTCAAACGCCAAACAGACTAATATATGTGTAATTGGAGGTCTTCAAAAAGGAGGATAAGAAGTTGTTGTTGTTGTTGTTGTTGCTGTTGTTAAGTGCTGTCAAGTCGTAGACAACTCATAGTGACCCTATGAATGAAAGACCTGATACTTGTATATCTTTCATCATTTCTCTAAGTTCACAGAGTTTCTGGAGGCAAGCCATTTCAGAAGTGGATGCCACTCCAGCTTCCAAGCCTGTTTTAATCTGGGAGCTCCACCAAACACTGTCCACCATGGGTGACCATTATCACATTTGTCACATCAGTGTCATGGTGTTTAGCATCACAGCAACCATGAGTTACCTCTGTACAGCCAATGAACAGACCAGTGCTATATAGGACAAGAAGAAACGGGAACAATATTTGTAGAAATAACAGCCAAAATATTTTCAGGTGTGATGAAGAGCATAAACCCACAGAGTCAAGACTGGACCTCAGAGCAATCTCTCAATTATCATCAAAGCAAAATATTGGGGTTTTGGTGCCCTACGGGCAAGAAGCTACAGTACAATCCCAAAGGCACATGGTTCAAATCCACGAGCTGCTTCATGGGAGAAAATAGGCTATCTCCTCCCATGTGCTCTTACTGCCTCTGAAAACCCACTATAGTGTCAGCTATGAGTCAGCTCTGACTCAACACCACATAACAACAACAATCAAACAGAGATTGTCCCTTTTTCTCTCTCTGAGCCACTGGTAGATTTAAATCATCAGAGAGGCATGGCTGTGAGCTTAGCAGTGCCAGTCCCTGTGGACTACACCACCAGAGCCCTCTAAAGAACGGACCTTGAGTGTAGAAATGCAGGGACTGAGAGTGATGACCTCGTGGGCAGAGACCCCTGGCACAGCTCTGGGCTCCCCTATAAGCTCTGGGCTCACTCTGGGACACTGGCCCATTTCTGGTGTCCTGCACACAGCTCCCAGGCTCCTGTTCCTCAACCCCCATGCCCTTATCTCCCTCCATGGGTCCTGGTCTCCACAGCATCCTTTTCTGCTGAGTCAGAGGCAGCACTGATTCCAAGAGGAAGCTTGCTAACCATTCCCACTAGTGCCACTCCAGCCCCAATTCCTGGAGATGGAGTTTGGCATTCTATAAAGAGCAAATGCCCTGTTAACGTTCCTGGAGTCAAACAGAATCCCTACCTCACACCGCTGCCCTCAGCACTGTCTAGCCGAATCTCCATGCTCCCAGCAACACCCACATCGCTGGCCATCCCTCTGCTCTTTCGTGGCCCCGCCTCCTGACCAGCTTTGCACCAGCCCATGCATCAGGGTGCACGGTGACGCCTCTCCTGACCTCTCGCCCTGAGCCCTGCTACACTCCAGGAGGTGCACATGTCCTTGACCCTCCAAGGAACATGGAGGGCCTTGGGGAACAAGAGATGAGGTACTGCCCTAAATACCCCTTCCCCAGCCAGGATGCCCCTCCCCACATAACCACAGTCACTTGGGGCACTGTGCCCACACGGGGGGCAGCCTGGCCTTCACGGTCTGCTCACTGCCTCCTGCTCGGCCCGCTTCTGCCTCTGCATGCCAGGACCTCGGCGCGCCATACTGGCTCGGTGTCTGTTTTCTCAAAGCCCTGGGGGTTCTGTAAAAACTCTTAGGATTCTTGTAACCCCGTTTATTTCTCTTCAAGCTGGCAGCCCGACAGACTCCAGTTATTCTTGCTGCTCAATTATTTATTTGCTGCCCCTCCCCCGTGCTCTGGAATCCTTAACACGACTCCCAGGAGTGGTCCTCTGGCCGCTCCCCCCACACCAAGCGAAGCAACTCTTGAATCTGGTGCCTTTTTTTTTATTGCCCAAGCTGGGGACACAGGATTTAAGTTGAGCCAGGAGTCGGAATCTGGCCAAGCCCATGCTGCCCACACCGGGGGTCACAGTCGTCCAACCCTAGCTATGTGTGAGACCAAAAGCCTCAAGTCACGGACCACTGGGGCCCCTCTGTCCCCAGTTGTGTGAGCGGACCATTCAGGGCACAGCCTTACCCACCACACCTGGGGCCTTTGTTGACCCAGAAAGTGAGACCTTAGCTTCAAAGCAGACTTTGTCACTCTGCGCCAGCTCCTGGTCCCAGAGCAGAGGGACACAATGGAGGGCCTCGTCCTGGGGCCACACACCTGTGACGTGTGCCCTGGGGGTCAGCAAGAACACACGTGCAGGCTAGTCACAGCTCTTGGCTCCACCCCACCAAGTGGGTCCTCACAGCCCATCTGCTCCCTGACGCAGACCAGGGCCTCCCCTGGACATTGACACTTTCCCTCCATCGTCATGCCCAACCTCTTCAATACCCCTGAATGTAGTGGGGTCTGCACAGACCTCTAGTCAAGCTGGAAGCATAAGGTAATCATGACCCACATTGTCGAGATGTTGGGTCTGAGAGCTGGATCCCTGATGGGGTGTCTCTTGGGGGAAGAGGACAAGGGAGCCCTTCAGAGGGAGTGACCTCCCTCACCCCACCTGCCTCCTCCAGGGGACTGGCTAAGGGTCTCTCCAAATGAACACATACTGTTGGTGCAGCCCCACCCCCTCCACAGCTGGTCTTGAATCCTGGGGTGGCACTAATGGGCATTACAAAAAAACCAATCCCATTCCTAACCAGCTTTCCCGCAAGCTGGCACCTCAGCCGGGCCCTGTGTGGTTTGTGATCCTTTATCCTCGGGGACAGCTCTTCAGCAAGGTCCCTGGGAGGCAGCCCCAGTCAGCAAAGTGAGGACCGGTCCCTGAAAGCACCTAGTGCCCAGCAATGAGTGAGCCCTTCAGCCTGAAGGAGAACTGGGGCAGATCACATAGGACATGGACACCTGGGCCCACTCAGTGGACAGCCCACTGCATCCCACCCAGGGAAGGGCTGCACCCTGGTGCTAGGAGAACAGGGCAGCTGTGCTGGGGCATCACTGTCCTCAGAGCTCTCAGTTTCTGCCCCAGGATAGGAGGACCCCGCCATCCAGCCCGTGCCCGGCAGCCGGGGGCTGTGGCGTGCTGCCAGGCCCCAGGCTGCACAGACAGACCGCCTTTTCTTCTCTCTGCAGGCCTGAAGGGACATCCAAAGCTACAGACCTGGCCACAGCAGGACCAATGGCAACAGCTTATCCAGGTAGGTGGGCAGAGCCTGCCCGGGAATGGAGACAAGGGCACAGCTGCTGAGCAGGGCCAGCCTCCAGCTGCCATCCACAACCGGAAGTGCCAGGACGACACTAGAGAGAGACCCCCTCCTGCCCATGCTCTGCCGACGCCCTGATTGTGACCATCATTTCACACACAGCAGCTGTCGGACCCTTGCACACATGCAAGTGGCACCCAGGACATTGGAGAACTCAGTGGGTGCTCCCAGCTGCTCCCCACACTAGCTCTCTGGGCACCCCCAGGAGCTGCCTCCATCTACCACTGCTCTCAGCAGAGCGGGACCCAGTGGAGAGTCCAGGGGGCAGTGGGACCCCACCCCAGAGCTGCATGGAGGGTGAGGCTCTGGCTCGGCCTTGCTTTGGGCTTGAAGCCAGGCAGCCAGCTCTCAGCTGGGGTTCTCTAGGGACGTCCTCCTCTGACAACTCCCCGGCCCTAGCCCTTCTGGCCCCACAGAGCTGCAGGCTCCCACAGAGGGCTGGCCCCGTGGGCTTTTCCGGTCATGTTATTTATAACATCCATGAGCCACAGAGGAATCCTGGGGCTCGGAGCCCCCACGACACTGGTGCAAGGGACTAAGGAAGGACCCAAGGTCCCCATGGCCTCCAAGTGGGCCGTGTGCTTCTCTCAGACCTCGAATCTCTCCCTCACTCTATGGAGAATGAACTTGACCTTCAGGAGCTCTGTGTGATGGGCACCCCCATCCATCTGTGTGCAGGTGCTCATCTGCAGTGCACCTCCCCAAAGCCCCTCGCCCACACCCTACCCACCTGTGCCACACACCAAATGTGCGGTGCCTTTGGACCGGGCTCCTTTTGAGGACACAGAAATGCAGGCTCTTCCCGGGGCAGCAGAGAAAGAGAAGACATCACTGACCACTCTTCAGGGGATCTGACCCCCTGGAGGAGGCCTGGAGGATTAGGGTTAAGATGGACGTGTCTGTGGTGCATCCCGTGTGCCCCCACACACCTGAGGAGAGGGATACGGCTCTGGCTCCACCATCCACCTAGATAGTGGGAGACCCGGAGCAGCCCACCATCAGTCCTCAGAGTTTGTACTGAGCGCTTGCTGAATGCCTCCTGAGCACCTGCTGAATATTTTCCAAGCTTGCCTAGTGGTGTGTCAAAAGCATGCCTGTAGTGACCAGGGAGAGGGCCAGAAGGAGGGTCTGGCTGCCGGCAGAGTGTATGCCCGGAGGGGCCAGAACAGGCAGAGGGCGCCCCTGGAGCAGGCGTGGATGGTGGAGAGAAGACAGCATGTTGGCCGGTAGGGGCGGGGAGAAGATTGACTCAGTCATATCTGGGAGACAAGCCAACGGAGAGGGCTTTTGGATGGTGTCGCAGAGCCGTGAAGGCCCTGGATGTCCAAGGCAGAGGGGCTGGAGAGAGGAGGGCACTGCAGAAGGAGACAGCAGAGCCAGCCACACTAGCGAAGGGACAACTAGTTCCCACAGGAGTGACCACCCCAGAGAGAGGGCCACCGAGCTCAGCCACTCAATCAGGAGGCTGCAGTCCCTGAGCAGTGGACTTGGCACCTCCTGCAGTCACAGAGCTAGCCTGATCACACAGGTGGCCAGCCCCACTGGCAAAGCCAGGGTCAGGGCAGTGGCCCCGTCACCACCCGTCCCTGCAGCCCTTCCAGCTGACTGTCCTGCTGACTTGTTCGTCCTGGTGACAGTCACACAAGACCTCTCCACAGGGCCCAGCATGCACTGCGGCCCTGCTGGTCAGACCCCCCATATCCCAGACCCTGAAGGTGGGGTGTGAGGGGCAGTGGGGTGAGCTCATGGTGGCTGCCAGAGGAACAGCCAGCACTGTCCATGGCATGTGGAGAACTGGCGTCTTTCACGCAGTCACCCACCGCCAGAGAAGCATCATTTGGGGGAGCTATTTCTCAGGCTGTGACCAGCTCCAGAGTTAGGATGAGTTGCAGGCCTGAGGGGGTTGACTTAGGCAGGACTCAGCCCAGGACCAAGATCCCCACCCCACCCGACCCCACCCCACCAGGCTTGGAACTGGACACAGGTGGCTTCTGAGGTCAACGCAGTGGCCCCCAGCTCAGGTCCCAAGTGCCAGGCCCCACGGCCGATGCCCACTGTGAGCTCACGCGCTCCCCAGCTGGCACCGTCGGCCCCGCCTGGTTGAGCTGTGTGTTCCCGGGAACGCCTAGAAACCGGCGCTGCTTGGAAACATGGCGCGGTTGCCATGCACTGCTCTCCTCGGCTGGCCTGCCAGGAAGGCTGCCTGAGGATGCGCGCCAGGCTGGCCCCTGCACCCCAGCCACGGCCCACGCCCAATGGGCCGAGGAACAGGCCCCCCTGGCCAGCCCCGAGCCCGATCCCCCAAGCCCCATGGCTGTGACTGAAGGCACTGGCCCTGCCCAGCACATTCCTCCAGACCCCAAGGCCCACTCACACCAGGGATGCGGGCAGCCGCACACGGCCAAGTCAAAGGATGACCTCGAGATGAAGCACACGGTCTCTAGGCCTGGTGTCCAGGCTGCTGCCTGCTCTCTGCCATGGACCCCCTACCTCTAACAGCCCCCCCAAACCCCGATTCCGAGGAGGCCACATTCCTGGTGTGAGCTGCGGCCGGTGAGCTTTTTCCACGCTTCAGTGCCAGCCCGCAGGCCCAGAGGAGGGGGAGAGGGTGGTTTCCATGGTAACCGCACTTTTGTTATTTTTTATTTTCTTTTTTATGGCTTCTCCAACTTTGAAGCTCTCCAGACAGTTTACAGACAGCCAAAAGGAAAAGCGGGTTTCCTTTGCTCCCGAGAAGCCCCAAGTACCCCTCCAGGGGGGCTGCCTTCCAGAGCGAGGCCAACAACATCTCTCCTGCCCTGAGACCCCCGGCCCACTCAACGGCCCCTCCTGTCCCTGCCTGCTGCCCATGGGCCACTGAGGCTTCAGAACCAGCTGGACTGCCCTGTTTTCAGAGCGTCTGTTTTTTCTGTAAACATTCTAGCAAAAATTAGTTCTTTTCCTCCTAAAAAGACAGGAAGTCTTCTTGAAAGCAAACTCTTCCAGTTAGCACATGTCCCGAGTCAGCTGAGAGTAGGGTCTCTGCCTTTGTGGGAAACTCAGGACCCCCCCCCCCAACCTCTTCCTCATTCTTGACCCTACATGGTGCCAGGCTGGAATGGAGATGGCTCTGCTCACTCAGAACCAGTGATTCACCTATATTCAGGGCACCCCAGCAGGGTACCAGTGAGGACATGAACCCTGGGTGGGGTCACAGAGCAGTCACCCTATGCCAAGGAAACACATGATGCCCAGGAAACACATGGTGAGGTGGCCGAGGCTCAGGCAGGTCCTGGGACAGTGACCACTGGGCTCAGGGTTGGGTCAGGAGCAGAGGTTCTGACAGCTGAGGGCTTTGGGGAGTAAGGCCTGAGTAGGAAGGGGTCTCCAGGGTTCCCCCAGCAGCCCTTGGCAGAGTTGCTGTCCCCTCAGCAAGCCCCAGAGATGTGGGCTGCTGCCCATCCCTGTCACTGGGAGTCTCCCTGAGAACATGCACCCCTCTTTTGCAGGAGAGTACGTGATCATGGTTCAGGATGTGACATCTCCTCCGTTCTTGGGTCGCCTGCTGCCCACCGCCTTCCAGCACGTGCGGCTCTCGGCAAAGGCCACAAATCAACCCAGCGCCCCTGGAGAGGGCCTGGAGACCCCGGGCTAGAGGTGGCCCCGGAGCTGGGCAGGGCAGGGGGCATGGTCTCCTAGATGGCCCTGGGCGGACTTGGACTGTAACCCACAGTGTGCTCCATGTTTCAATAAAAGCACCCCACATGCCTGTTCACACAGTGTCCCCCAACACTAAAGCCTTGTGCCTCACAGCTTGGAAACCCCTCCCTGCACTTCAGGACAGCCCCGCACCCCCCCCCCCCAGCTGTCACTTCAGAGGTGAGGCAGTGAGGTCCTGAGGGGGTGGCAGCCCCCAAGCCTGTGTCTCGGGCCACTGTCTGTGATGGCCCTCAGCCCAGCTCTGAACTCTGGGAGACACGGTGTCACGGGAGGTCAGGGTAGGCTCCATGGCAGTGACGAGTTGTCGAGTTGTCCCTGTCCTCCAGGAGCGGGCCAGGTGTCCATGGTGACTCCTCGAGGGTGTGCAGCGCCTCCCTGTCTACAAGGATGACAGGAGCCCCCGGGCTGCTGGCCAAAGCGTGGACGTCTGGGGCCTATGTGGAAGGAGGCCTCTGTGAATTTGCCTGGTTGGGGGGCTGTGGCGGGCCCCCTTCCCTCTCCTGCCTGTGGCTCCCATCCCACAGGGACCTCTGGCTGTTCACAAGACCACCCTGCCCTGCTCAGACCTCCCGTTTCCTCAGCATACTACCCAGTCAGATGTCCCTGTAACCCCGGCCTCACCTGTATGCCAGGCTGGCCCCTGGTGCAAAACCACCAGTGCTGCCCTGCCAGGACACTGCCCTGCCTGCACCTTGAAGATAGGAGGCACAGCCCCCAGCACTTCACCCTCAGCACCCCACCTCCTTCCCTGCTCACTGACCACCCTGTTCCCCCCTTCAGAGGTCATAAAGAAAGGGGACAAAAGAAGGCCTCAGAGTTCCTGAGTCCCAGCCCTGCACCAGAACTGATCAGCCACACCCCCTGTGCCCGCCAAGTCCCCCACCTCCTGCATCAGGAAGCCCCCTCCGCAGTGGGATTCTCTTTGGGGAGCTCATGTTGATGCCCTTCCTGCCCAACTCCAACCCAATTTCAGGCCTTCTGTCACAGAAGGGAGGCCTTCTTCACACAGGCCATCCACACTTCCTCTCATATTCACCCCCATCCCACATCCATGGGGACCCCACTCCATGTTACCATGTGCTGAGGTATGCGGATGACCCCTGTGGGCTCCCAGTCACCATGGGACCATCTCCTCCCTGCCTCCCACTGGGTCCATCTCATCTCTGCCACCCAGTGTCGGGCCCGGGCTTTGTCCTCGGGGGCCCGGTCTGCACGGCCTTTCCTCTGATGCCTACAGTCTCCCTGCCACCAGCCGCAGGTGTCTCTGTAGCCCAGACTCCACACCACCCTAAGATCCACATAAAGGCATTTTAGCCAACATGTTCCCCAGAAGGTAACAGTCCCCAAGTCATACAGTGGCTCGGGCTAGAACTACTGCCCATCTTTGCTCCCTCCCGCTGTCCCCCTCCCTCCATCCACCATGGGGCTTGCTGACCAGGCAATGGGGGACATCCTCCGCCTCCTCTGTGCACTTCGTGCCTCACATGCCAGGACCCCTCATGGTGCCTGACCACTAGGTATGCAGGGTAACATCTGGTGAATGAAAGGGTGGATGTGGAGCACCTTGCATGTGCCAGTCAGTGTGCAAGGCACTGTGATGCCGTGATAAACAAGGCGGATGGAGTGTGTGGAGAGGATCTTCAAGCTGCGTGCCTGGAAGGAAAGACTGAAAGATGGATGGATGGGTGAATGGATGGAGGAGAGAGCCTGGCTGGATGGAAAGCTGGGAGGGTGCATAAGGGAAAGGAAAGTGCACTGACTGATGGGAGAGCAGGCAGCTGTGTGAGCAAATGGATAGAAAATTGGATGGATGGGTGGGTGTGGTGGGTGGATGATGGATGAGACTAATGGGATGGATGGGTGGATCGATGGATGGGTGAGAGGGAAGGAATGAGTGGTGTGGATGGTAGCTGGAGGAGCACCTGAGTACAGTTACGCTGGACAGAGGAGAAGCGTGCTTGGGTTAACGAGTAGCTCCCCATGGAATGAATGTGTTCTCGTTGGAAAAGCAAGAGGCGACAGATGGCGAAAGGATCTCTAGGTCAATACCAATCCAAAACCAGCAAGCCTCTCCCTCTCAAGCCCTGGCAGCTGCCCCAGGGCTTTGCCTTTCCATTTTCTTGGACTCCCCCATCCAATTTTCCCTCAACACGATCAAGCCAGTCAAAAGTCGAAAGATGGAGCAGTCCAGACAAGCCAGGCCTTCCTGCAGGAGCAGAGGCGTCCATCGTGCCCCTGGGCACCCCTCCAAGCCCAGCTCGGGCCTGGCGCCCACACCTGGTGGGAAAGCAGGGTGGGAGCCCCAGAGGCTAACCACTGTGGGAGCTTAGAGATAGGTGAGCAGTGGGGGTTCCAGAGCCTGCATCACAGGGATGGGGGTGCAGGAGGCTCCTGGCCCACCCCTCCTCTTCCATGAGCTCTGAACACAGTGTCCTGCCTGAGAAGGCTGGGTCAGCGTGTCTGGTCTGGGGGCTTGGGCCGGCCCAATCCGGTCCTGGAGCTGCCTGCTGTGGGCAGAGCCCACCAAGGAAGGTGTGGGTCATGCTCTCACACACAGCTGCATAAACACAAGAACAGCTTCTTGGCACATGATTGCAGAGACGACCCGCCCAGGCAGCTGGAGTTGGCAGAGGCACCTGCAGAGGCACACGGTCCTCCCGGGAGGATGCTGGTCAGAAGACCCAAGGGGCTCTCGAAAACCACATAAGCCTCGGGTGGGACACACCAAGAAAGGTTCTCTGTACAAGGGAGAGTTGGGCTCAGAAAGCGAGGCAGTGCAGGCGCATTCAGCCAACATGAGAGTACACCCAAAGAACGCAGTAGAGAGGAGGGGGTCAGCTCCCTGACCTTGGGCATGGTCTACCACAGGCCACAGTCCCCTCCAGGTGTAGCAAAGAGGCCACTACTCTGGTGCTGAGCGCTCCATGTGGTTTCTGCTCTTAGCCTTGTCATCCAAGGCCATCCTGCTTGGTATCCATTTGGCAAGGCATCTGGGGCAAACCCAGAGCAGGAGCCCTAGGGAGCCCACATTTGAGTTCAAAGGAGCTGGGCAGGGCTGTCACTCTCTCCTTCACCCTCCAGAAGCCCAAAGGCCAGAGCCCATTCACAAAGCGGGACCTCCCACCTCAGGGTCCCCCTAGGAACTCTCATAAGCCTGGCCTCCTCTCCTACCTCCTCTAGACCCTGGAGTCCTTGAGCCTGAGGTTGGCCCAGGGCTCGGCTGCAGCAATGGGTGCCCCTGAGGTTCTGACACCATCACAACTCTTGTGGAGGGACAGAAGGACTCCCGCAAACTGATTCTAGGTGCCCCCAACCTCTCATCAAGCCCAGTGGGGCAATGCCATCTGGGGTCTGAGGAGGCCCTGACAGAGACCAGCCATGTTTGGGGTGCAGGGTGAGGGAGCCCTCACTCCCACGAGGGCTGGACGAAGGGTCCCATGCTCCCCAAACCCCCAGAACAGCTGCACCCAGGCGCTGCCCCTCTCCCAGGCTCTCTCTCCCCTCAGTCAGCAAATCTCTTTACAGCTCTTTTATTTCTCCCTTTAAGATGAAACCACATTTCTGTCAAAAGAAAAACAAAGAAAATGATGTTTCAATTTAGGAAGAAGAAATTGCTGGGAACAGAAGCAGCTGCTGTTTTCCAGCGTGTCAGGGGCGGCCCGTCGGTATTTAATTCCAAATCAGCATCCGGGGCTGTGAAAGGCACAGCACACATGGCCCGGAATTCGGGGAGTCCGTGCTCCCCACGGGAGGGCGCCCAGCCCAGCCGGCCGCCCCAGCCAGAGGGTGGGTCCTGCCGCGGGGCGGCGGGGGGGTGGGTGGGCTCTCATGCAGACAATCAAACCCATCTTGTCGCCAAGAGAAGTCGACCTCGAGTCACAAAATCTCAGCAAACAAAATGCCGCCCCTGCAGCTACCATCTTTATCCTGCTCCAAGACGGCACGGCAGCCCTGATGGTCCAGGCAGGATCCCCCCCTTCACGCTCCTTTCCTGGAGGGCAGCTCAGGGGGTCCCAGAAGATGACAAGCAGGGGCTGGTCAATGAAGCACGAGGAAACCCCAGAATCAAGTTGTTGTTGTTGTTGTTGTTGTTGTAAGGTACCATCGAGTATGACTCATAGTGACCTTATGAACTCCGTCCTGTCCTGTGTCATCCTCACAGTCTCCACCACATTCGAGCCCACCGCTGCAGTCACTGTCCATCCACCTGCTTGTGGGTCTTCCTCTCTGTCGCTGACCTTCCGCCTCTCCAACCAAGCCCAATCATGTCCTCCGAGAAACAGCCTCTGGCTAGCAGCACGTCCAAAATCTTCAAGACGGAGCTCTGGCATCCTCACCTCCAAAGAACACCCCATTACATCTTCTCGAAGACGTATATCCTGGAGATACGTCTGTGCAGCCAGAGGTCGGGAGAGGAAATGGGTCCGTTGTTCTGGGGTGATGATAGTATCAGTGCACAGCTGACTGACCCTGCTACCACCCAGTTCTTCCAAGGAAACACTGCTGGTGGCCTCTGAGGAAGGACCCATTGAGTCCAGGCTTCATCCAAGTGGAAAAGTGGACAACATGCCTTCCGGAACTATGACCCCAGGCCTTCCTGGTGGAGGCGGTGGGTACTGGATAGAGGCTTGAGGGCCAGGAGGGAGCTGCCAAACTCCCAAGCAGGGGCTCCCCACCCCACCCAAGCCCACACTTCCAAATACATTTGTACAAAAAGTAATGGTGGAGGGTGGTCTCTGGAACAGGTTGCTGGGGTGGATAGGACAGAGGTGCTGCCACACCACCACCAAGCCCTCCCTGGGGTGGGGTCTCCCAGCTGATGAGGGGCTGACAGAGGAGGACTACCTAAAGGACAGGTGTCCAACCTGGGTCATGAAGAACAGAATAGACAGCTTCGAGCAGGGGCAGGGACTCACCTAGGATAGTGCCCACCTC